CTCCGACCCCGCCCCCCCCCATCCCTCCCACTTTCTGAATGACTAGGCACCTGGCTCCCAGAATTGCTTCATTCCTGGAATTTATTTTTGGCAAACAAATAATCCATACAGGATATGAACAATCACCCCCACCCCAACCCCACTCTCCTCAATAATGCCTACTGCCTTTTTTGCTTCCTTAGCCAATTTTCAGTCCTTTCTCCAGAATTTCTTCTGATCACAGGTATTCAAAACTTTTTGGCCAGAGAAACTAAGTAAATGACATGCCCCAAGTTTTTATGGTGGATTTCCAAAGGACGTGAAAATTTTATTGGGATATTGTTCACTGTGTTTTATGAGTATTACATACAACAGTTTAAAACATGATTTTCTTCCTATTCAAGCACCCTGGGGAACTGTGTAGTAAGTAGAATAGTACTTTCAAAATAAGTGTAATAAATAGGATTTGGACACTTAAATTTTTTTCATTTGCTAATACTTGCAATTCTTAAATATCTTCTCTTTGATGTTTATAAAATGATTTTTTAAATTCCCCACAATACATTCATTTCACAATGCTACTACACACCTCTGATCCCCCTGTCCCTCTAACCTCCCTTTCACAGCTTCCCGTCCCTCCCCCAACCCACCTCCCAAGAGTTACAGGCAACTTTACAATGTTCAGAAGTTAGAATGATTTACAATGAAAACCACCCACCTATATACTGAGGCATTCAAGACCCTTGCGGGGTATTTATCAACAGATCAGCCTCATTTATCGCATCTCTGTTTTCAACAGATTATCTACTGCCTCAATCTTGCAGGTATGTCAACAATTCAGAATTCTCCAGGGCTCTGGAACTAACAGCAGTTAACACCAGGGTCATTTCTTCCCAGACTTTCTTGTGTTGATACAGGATTCTTTCCAGGCCAGTACTATTTCAACAATTGCTTGTCTGTTTCAACTTTAGACACATGACAGTAATACGGAAATACTAAAAACAATACTCACAACCATCACAAGCCCCCCAGGCCTTTTCAAAGAACTTTAATTAACATACATGAACCATCCCTGGTAATTGTTCCTTGGCATGACATGTTAAATTCCTTTGAAGCCGATTTCCTTTTTAAGTCTCAGAAAGCTGAGGCTTTAGAGTAAGTAGGTGTTGTTAGCTGCCTTATCTCTCTGCCTGACTTGTACTTCTGTGTAGGCTGCTGAGTGCATTTCAGTTTGCAGGGAAGCTCCTGTTGTAATCAAAATATTTCAAACACTTTGTTCCTTAGTATAAGGCAGGGACATTCAAGGAGTTGCCCTAAGCATTAGAGCAGAAACACCATGACATGATTTGTTTTACCATATCAATTCTGTGAACCATGAAATATTCCTGTTGCTCTCTCCTGGAATGCTCCAATGTCTGTCCCATATCCAGTCCTACTGAATTTTTGAGTTCTAAAATCTCAATTTCTTTCAGAAGCTTTTCAAAATTTCCTTCAACTAGTAGTCTAACTCATACTTCTAAACTCCATAATATGTTAGCTCTCCTTCTTTTGGGTTCCTCACTATTTCCTATTTGAGTACATATTTTTTTAAGGGAGGGGAGTCTTATGGGTAATTCAGCACCTGCACAATGCCCTGCATGAAGTATAGACTCATTCAGTAGTTCTTGAATTCACCAAGCAACCTGAATCACCACGTTGTAGGGAAGACAGTTCACATGTGGGTTTGGAGTCAAGCATCCAATATTCAGAGACTGATGCATTCTTCACACATGAAATGGAGCTTCATATCTATCCTATGCAATTGTTTTCAGGATTTAATGAAATGCGAACAGAGGAAGATTTTAGAACAGGGTTAGGCACACAGATGCTCAACAATGTTCCCTCTTCTGTTAATTTCCCCCATTTATTGAATAGTTGATGTCTAGTTGCTCTTCTGGCTAGCCACTTTCTGAGAGTAAGAAAGAACACACAATGTGCATCCCTTGTGTCCCCTGAGAAGACCCTAGTTTGGTTTCAGTTAAACACTGGACCTGCACAGACTAATGGGTGCAATGACACCACCAGTCAAAAATTGGCCTCAATTGTCCTGGAGTCTTTAGTCAGACTCTCAAATGTAAATTTAGGTTCTTTTTATCCCATGTACTGTAGCAGTTCAGCGTTATCTAGACCTCCCTACTCTCGGAACGCCTCAGATTTTTTACTTAGAGGAAAATAGGGGATGAGGAAGGCCTCAGGGTCTAATAAAAACCCCATTTTGTATTAACCCAAAAGCTAACAATACAACTAATGAGTGGTTTAAAAATTCAGGCTTGGTGGTTTAAATACCAATTCTGCTACGATCTGTGGAAACTTGAGTGTTACTTAGCTGCTTAGTTTCCTCATCTGTAAAATGGGGATTCAAACATCTACCACAGAAGTACTGTTTTGAAAGCATAGTAACAAATGCAAACCACATAGTTGATTCATGGCACACACAGGCAATTACATTAACTGCAGTCATTAAACATCTCTTTACCTTTCAAGCATGCAAATACTGCCAGATCCTTTAGGATTCTTTAGGATCCTTTAGGATTCTTTAACAAAAACTGAAAACAATACATCCTCCCAGGGACAGCTGTTTTAAATCTTTGTTCTGGTCTGCAAATATTTTTTTTTCTTCCTAATGGGTTCTACATTTGCCATTGCCCAAGTTATGTCCTCAAGAAAGAAACAGTTCAAAATTGCTGGAAACAAACAGATATCCCAACTTAACTGTTCAATTTCTTTCTTCTTTTTTTCTGCAATAAGCCTATACT